AATTGTATCCTTTACTCATGTATCACCAAAACTGCATATTATCAGATGCAAAAATACTCAATGTTTATTAAACATACTAGGAGGGCAGCAAACTACAGCCCCCAGACAAATCACACCTGCCACCTGATTTTGCATGGTGTAAGAGCTAAGTGTTTTTTACACGTCTAAATGGTTGAAATTTTTCCAAAGAGTATTTTATGACATGTGAAGTTTATACGAATTATAAATTTGAAGGTTTATCAATAAAGTTTTATTATAGCACAGCCATGCTTAATCCCTATGCTACTTTCACAATACAATGGCAGAGTAGAGTCTTGGGACATAGACTGTATGGCCTAAAAAAGCAAAATTATTTACTGTTTGGCCCTTTAAAGAAAAAAATGCAGATCTCTGGAATAGAACGGGTATTAGATTTATGCCTCTATCCCTAGATTACAAATTCACTGGGGACAAGAATTGTGTTCTTGTTCACAATGATATCTACAGGCCTACAATAGACTGTGGAGTAGTGGAAATGCTCAATAAAAAGTTTTTGACATAATAAACACATAAAAGAATAAATGGACATTAATGTTTCATTGATTCCAAAATAAAAAGATGTTAAGACTAAAAAGGCTGCAAAAACTTGATCTAGAGAGTGAGAATTTAAGATTCTTCTTTCCATTTTCTGTCTTCTGCTGTTTTTTTCCTTAATAAAATAATCTGATTTACTGTCTATATAATGCAGCTTGACAAGTATTAAGGAATAGATTAGGGTTCCCAGCAACCCTCAGAAAGGGCAGCATAGAGCAGTTTAGAACGGGCTGGCTTTGGAAAACCCTGTGATTAATACAATGCTTGTATTGAAAAACAAGGAAAACCTAGCATTGGAGACTTCAGAGGCTTTAAAGATAAACAAAAGGGGCATATTGTTATGGGAATGGAAGCCAAAACAAGGCAGCCCTGGCCAGTGTGCCCAATGGTCAGAGCCTCGGCCTGCGCACTGAAGGATCGTGGGTTCAATTTCCGGTCAAGGACACGTACCTGGGTTGCAGATTCCATCCTTGGCTCTGGTCAAGGTGATGCAGAAGGCAACGAATTCTCTCCCCCCCCCTTGCACCTTCCCTCCCACTCTCTCTAAAAATCAATGGAAAAAATATCCTCAGATGAGGATTAACAATAATAATAATAATAATAATAATAATAATAATAAAATATTCATAGCAGTTTTATCATAATAGCTCAAAATAGGAAAAAAACAAAGGTATCGATCAGTAGGGTAGTGAATAACTAAACCATACAATTGCATACTAGCCAGGAATAAAAAGGAAAGAGCTAGATACACACTACAACGTGGAGGAATCCGAAAGCATTCTGCTAAGTGTAGAAAGCCTTATGCAATAGTGTATACACTGTATTGTATAGGCTGTAAGAGTTCACTTACACAAAGTTCTAGAACAAGCAAAACTAATCTGTGGGTGTCACAGGAATCAAAATAGTGATGGTCCTGAGAGTGAAGTGTAAGAGCAAGGATTGACTAGGAGGGTACATGAGGGAACTGTTCAGCAGGACAGTAATGTTTCACATATTGCTAAGGATTGGTTGCCCAGGTGAACGCATTTGTCCAAATTTATTGAAGTATACACTGAATATTGGTGTTTGTATATAATTTAAGTTTTACCTCAAAAGAAAAAGAACTCTAATGAATGTTGAACTCTAGTGTGGGAGCAGACAAACTTTTCTTAAAGGGCCAAATCATTTAGATTTTGTGGACCATATGGTCTCTGTCCCAACCAGTAAACACCAAGGTTGCAGCCCCCAAAACAGCCAGGGACAATTTGTGAATGAATGGGCATGGCTTGTTAAAAAAAACAAAACAGCAACTTTATTTACAGAAACCAGAAAATGACCCAGGCCAAGGTTTGCTGACTCTTGCACGTAGTTAGGGATACCATGCTAACATTTGGGGTAAAGTGATCGGGCGACTTTCTTTGAATGCATTGCAAATATGATGGATTGATGAATGGAGAAAGGGATGGGTAGATGAATAACTATTTGATAAAACAAATATCATTATTTGAATTATATAACCTAAGTGATGGGAATATGGCTACTCCTAGCAAATTTTTTCAACTTTTGCCTATGCTTGAAAATTTTCATAATAAACTGTCAGGGGGAAATACTAAACAAATAAAAAATGTGTGCACATAGAGCCTGCTTATAGCTGACTAGGGAAAACAAGGTTAATATGGCCATGAGTTAACACAGCATAAGTGAGACTTTCAAAGCTGCCCCACATGGCCAAAACATGCCCAGCACATGCCCAGCAATGGGTCACTGTAGGTGTGGCTGTGGAGAAAGGCAAAGAGCCTCAAGTGCAAGGCCAGGATCATCACACCTTTCTAGAACAAAATTAAAAGATTGGATGCTGTTTAATAGTGTGTGTGTGTTTCATAATATATGGATTTCAGCTCCAATTTAACAGTTGGTCAAAGTAACAAAAGTTCCAATATAACCATTTAAACCTGATTTTAAATACCCATAAGAAAAATTATCTCTTAAAAATCAGTACTACATTGTAATCACTCTGCCCTGAGCTTTCACAGACTGCAAATATTGGCACAAGGATGTTTTTAATGTTCTAATAGATTTTAAAATTTAGCCCTGAAAACTTCTCAAAGCATTGATTAACTGATGAAAAATATTCTTTGGAGCACTGGCAAATTATTTCAAGAATAAGTTAATAAAAAATTTATTCATACTCATGAAATAAGAATTTTTGAATAGAGACAATATTCCAACATGACTATATTTCCATAGACATTTCAAATGGCTAAAATATAAAGGCAGAAATTTGTTTATTTAAAATTATCTCTAGGGAAATACTGATATTTTAACATTTAATTGTAGTTGCAAGAGATGTCACTATTATTAATATCGCTAGACTTCAATAATTATGCCAGGCAATGTTTGTTCCATTTTCCCCAAGGCTTGTATTATTTTTCCCATTTTACGGATGAGGAAACTGAAACTGCACAGCTAACAGGTTCAAACCCATTTAGTCTGATTCCAGATATCTTAAATCAAACCAAGAGGTATGGATAAAATGATGTCTGCCTATACATCTGACATCTCAGTTTTGATGTGACTTGCCCCTATTTTACCTCTTGAATAAACTATCTAAAAATAAGCAATGGGGGAAGCAGTAAGGAAGAAAAGCAGGGAAGAAAAGAGAGAAGCACAGTGATGGAGATCCTGATGTTGTCTAAGTTTAAGGCAGGGGGGCAATGTGAATAGAAGAGGAGCCTCATGCAACAAAAAGAGAAAATATCAGGTATTCTGCCCATGAAGGAGGCGAGGCTAAGTAACTGTATGCTGCGGAAAATCTTCTAAGGAAAGGGAACAAGCCATGGGAAGGTTCTAAAGGAGACACATGTGGGATGAAGCAATTCATAAGGCATTGCAATGGCTAAAAGTTGGGAACCAGATTCAATGTCACCATCTAATATAACTGAATCCATAATAAAAGGGTTATCTATTGCAGGGAGTCATTCATCCTGTTTGTGGAGCTGGTCCCTTTTTCTGTGATAAAGTTGGCTTATTCCTAACAATTGTTTTTAGAAAAGTATTTTTAATATATATTATTCCTATTAACTATATTGGGGGGACATTGTTTAATAAAGCTATATAGGTTTCAGGTGTCAGTTCCATGATACATTATTTGTATATTGTATTACTTGCCCACTATGCAAAGTCTGACTACCTTTCGTCACCATACACCGACTCCCTCTGACACCCACACCTTCACTGACACCCACACCTTCTTTCCTTCTGGTAATTGTTCTACTGTTGTCTGTGTTTGAGTGTGTGTTTGTATTTTTTGTTCACTTGTTGATTTCAGTTTTGTATTTTACAGGAGTGAAAAAATATAGTTCTTGACTTTTTCTCTTACTTTGCTTAGCATGATATTCTCAAAATCCATCTGTGTTGCCACAAATGGCAGTATTTCATTTTTAGAAAAGTATTTTTGACATCAAAGTCAAGCAAAAGAACAAACTCCATTTTAGTTATATAGAAGTTAAAGCCAGAAACACCAAAAATATTCAGAAACATACTATCAGCTTTTTTAAATATCAGATATTTTATGACAAATTTTACCAATAACATCTCATGTAGCTCTTAAATCAACTATTTTATGAACTAAATATCATTTTTCCCCCTTGTAAAATTGAGAAAACCAAGGCTTTAAAAAGTAAATTGCTCAAGATCGTACAGCTAGCGAGTGATGGAGCCAGGGTTCCAATCCACATGTGTAATATGTAAACATTTCCTAACAATTAACATCTAATGCTCAAACATTAGCTTGCTTTAAATTATCTCTAAGTACATACTTACATTTAACTTCTCATTGTACTTATTTGAGTGGCGCATCACTTTTATAAAAAAATCACCAGCGTTCAATTAGTTATGCCAGACAATATATTACCTGTTTTAATATGACATGTAAGCCCATCAGATGAGGGCAGGCACGGAATCAATATTTGCTCACTAAAATATCATAATCACCTGATACAAAACGGTGAATGAATGAAGTTCATTAGCTAACAAATAAAGAAATTAATAAGTGTCTGGCTTGGGAGCAACTTCAAAGGCTAGTCAGCAGCCCATCAGAGTGTTCTAGTGAGCCTGAGGAAACAAATGTTACCGGACAGAGCTGAAATCAGTCTAGCCAAAAGCAAAATATAAATTGATGAATTAATCTATGTAGCATTATCATGTTTAAATTTCACAATTTCCATAAAGAGTCAAAATATACAGAAAATTCCCTATTGTCTAGATAGACCTTTGGGATCCCATGACCTCAATGATAAGGATCCAATGTGATATTTTAGAATAATAAACATCCTAAAAATGGTTTAATTATTTATATCTAAATATCAGCCAAGATTCTACTACCATAATCAAACACTTGACAAAAAAGAAAAGAAAAAGAAGGAAAGAAAGAAACTCAAAGCACTTACCAGCTACAGCACCATTGTGATCATAAAATGGAGGTGATAGACCAGTCATCCCATTTCTCTTTGTCCAACCAAGTTGCAGACTCTGATCTTGTGTCATATTACAGAGCCCATCCTCAAAATCACATCTTTCATAATTCAAGCCTAAGGAGAGAAAGAAGAAATTAGCTTTCCCAACCCATTTGCCTCCTTAAGAAATAAGAATAGAAACAAGAAAGCTTAGCAACAAATGACAAATGTAGATTAACATAAGGATTACTTTTCACATTTACGTTTACTTTATTAATGCAAAGCTTCTTTGCATACGACATTCTCATAAATCACCGCACAGCCAAAAACCAGTGTAGTCAGAAAGAATGCCACTGGAGATCAGAAGGCTGAGGACCTAATCCTGGTTTTGTCTAAGAGACTGGGTGCCTTTGCTAAACCACTTAACCACAGCGAAACTTTTCCTTCACTTGTAAGATTAAAATAATGATATCCTGCCCTGTCTCCCTAAAAAAACTGTTGTGAGGATCTAATGACATAATGTACATAATGTACTTTACAACTCATAGGCACTGTAAAATATGAGGAATTATTTTTCGGGTTACATCTTCAATAAAATCTCAATATTTCTGCCATGCAGGCATATCAGAATCCCGTAGTGTCTGTGATGGATGCCTGGAATTAAGCATAGCACCTCCCTGTTGATCTCAATGTTCTTGAAACTCTGAATGCTTTTACCAGAGAGAGCAAAGGCATTTTTCTGCCATTTTTTTTTTCTTTTGGGTATAAATGATCCAAGAGGCTAGGGAGAAGCAAGATTTGGATACTTGGTTAGTCACAATAACCACCCAAGTAAGGCTTTATTCCATTATCCAAGAAATTCCTGAATATATTAAAAGATGCTCAACCTAAAATAAAAAATAAAAAAGGTTATCTCAATCGCAAATTGCCCCTCCCTGAGTTGTGTTCTTAGCCTCTGTAGAGATTTCCCTTGGACAAGATTGTTCTTGCCCTGACTGGTTGCATTAGCCATAGCAGGAGTAAATATGCTGGTTGTTAGATAGTGCATGGCAACTCAGTCACAAAAACTTTTTTTTTTTATTTTGGTTAAAAAATTATATAGGTTTCAAGTTACAATTTTATAATACTTCGTCTGTATATTGCATTGTGTGTTTACCACCCTACGTCAAATCTTTTGTCACCAAAATTTGATTCCTTTTATCCTTTACTACCTCCCCACCTCACCTCCCCTTCCCTCTAGTGACCATGATACTGTTGCTTGTGTCTAGGAGTTTTTGTTTTTTCAGTTGTCTTGTTTGTTCATTTGTTGCTTTCAATTTTATATCTCACATATGAGTGAAGTCATATTGCTTTTGACACTTTCTCCCTGACTTATTTTGCTTAGCATATTTTCAAAATCCATCCATTTGTTGCCACAAGGGGCAGCATTTCATCTTTTCTCCTGGCTGAGTAGTATTCCATTGTATATATGTACCACAACTTCTTTATCCAATCCTCTCTCAAAGGACACTTCAGTTGCTCCTATGTCTTGACCACTGTGAATAATGATGTAGTGAACATAGGGGTGCATATATCTTTATAAATAAACGTTTTCAAATTTTGGGTGTAGATACCCAGAAGAGGGGTTGCTGGGTCACATGGTAGCTCTATTCTTAATTTTTTAGGAGTCTTTATACTGTTTTCCATAGTGGCTGCATCAGTTTATATTCCCACAAGGGGTGAATTTTTGTTTAATCATTTTTTGGACAAAATATTATTTAATAATAATATATTTGGTGCCTGTTCTTGAGGTCATCTACATGAAAATTGAAAGCTGATTTAGAAATGTCACCTTTAAACAACATTAACTAAACCTGCTTTACTACTAATGGTCTACTTTATTAATTTTACTTCTTGATCCCTTATTTTGAAAGATTTTACAACCCAGCTATATTCTGTAATAATAACAGGAATTTTAATGGCCACAATTTATGGAGGTAGTTTGTTCTGTGTTAGATATTTTACTTGCAGTAGCTTATTTCTTCCTTATGAAGCAGGCATTTTCTTCTGTTTTAAATGAAAAAATGTAGGCTCTGTGTTAGAGACATGAAATAACTCGCCCAAGCTAGAACTGCTAGTGAGTGCTGGGGTCGAGACTGGAACCAGGTCTTTTTGGAACCCCAGAACATGAGCTCTTAAAGCTCCATTCTGAGGCCTAATTGTGAATCCACTGTCCCATTTTTATCAAATACCTAGAATTAGAAGCCTATCAGAGTTTCCAGCCAGCCTAAGGACATTTGTATTTCCAGGCAGAATTGAAGTCATCCTATCTGAAAGCAAAGAAATTTGGTTAGTCTATGAATCAAAGCATGGTTAAATTTACAATTTCCAGGCCTTTGAAATATCTGAAATAGCAAGAATATCCCAATTATTACCTCATGGACCCCTAGTGGTTCAGGGACATTGGCTGAACAAAAAAATAAAACAAATTAGTTAGTCATACAGTGTATATGTGTGTGCATGCTGTTCAACTAGCTATGCATGTAGCTGCATAAACATGTATCAAGTTCCCTCTAGTTCCCAGCAATTTTTACAATGATCGATTTCTGATTATAAAATATTCAAAACATTTTTATCACCATTTTCTAGCAATTATGTGTATGACATGTACACACATTTACTATAGGTGCCAAACGTTTTTTAATACCAAGAAACTACCTTGCAGTACAATTACTAGTTGACATCTGTTTGCAATGTTATTTGCTCTTTTTAATACACAAGAGTAATGATGATGATTTCTGGAAGTAGTAGAACTAGAAAAATAGCTAAATAAAACATTTTTCCCTTTAGTCTCAACAGGGGTTCTTTTTGTTATAAAATGAATCTAATAAGCATATATTTTCAGCTAATTCTTAATAAAAAATTTTAAAAAGGCAATCATGAACTTATAGTAACTGCTGGATTGTTCACAAATGTATCAGAAAATTTTCTAAGTATTCATTTCCCCCAAGAGAGGATTATATATTTTAAACCATTTAAACAATTTTTCTTGAATTGTGGCTGATTTACCTTTTAATTCCATATGCCACATGTCAACATTCAAATCTGAAACTACTTGCTATCTGAACATCTGCCTCCACGTCGATTTCTGCTGCCACAGCCATCCCTACATTGTGACAATTGAACAGTGTAAGCAACAACGAGGAATGGTATGCAGGAACTTATCAGTAGACTCCATGTTCCTGGGCTTTTTGAACTTGTGGATCTTATCATTTCATTTTCAATTTTATGATCCCAAAGGTCAGGCGCAGTGTAGTTCAGGAAGGCGGATCTCTCTCTGTTGCAATTCTCTCCTGAATTGGCTTCCATGGTGCCAGATTCTCTCATTGAAATTCACTGAAGAGTCTCTCATATAGTCAATCATTAACACCATAATAGGAAAAAATATATAAAACTATGTCCCCAAGAGATAGTTAACTTAGAGCATGCTTCTGAGAAAATGGGAGGGAATAGAATCAAGTTTTAGTAGCAGTAATAGTGGAGAAATTGGTGCAGAACTCAGGATTAATTCTGGAAAGAATGATATGGATAGATTACCGCAATGTAAAGTTCTTAGAATACAGAGAAAATATAAGAATTAGGAAAAATCTAGAAAGGGAGAGGTAGAAGGTATTAAAAGCAAACCACTTATTTCACATGGACGCATATTAATAATGTACTTCTACTTTCCTCCTAAAGGTTCAATGAGGCACAGTTGTAGTCTTTCCCTACCAATAAATCCCACTCTTTCAATATAAAATATAAGAATTAGGAAAAATCTAGAAGGGGAGAGGTAGATGATATTAGAGTTTAATTTAGTTTTCCTCTTTTTTTTTTTTTGCCTATAATGTTGGTGTCATATCTAAAAAATCATTCCCAAATCCAATATTGTAAAGTTTTCCCCCGATGTTTTCTTCTAAGAATTGTATAGTATTAGCTCTTACATTTAGGTCCTCAATCCATTTTGAGTTAATTTTGTGTATGATGTAAGGTAAGGATCCAACTGTAATCATTTTGTGTGAATATCCAATTTTTACAATGGTATTTGTTGAAAAGACTGGTCTTTTTCCATTGAATAGCCTTGGTGCACTTGTTGAAAACCATTTGACCCTATCTGAGAGAGCTTATTTTTAGGCACTCTATTTTATTCCATTGGCCTATATATCTATCTTTATGCAAATTCCACACTCTTTTAATTACTGTAGCTTTGTAATAAGTTTGAAATCAGGGAGTGTGAGAATTATAACATGGTTCTTTTTCAAGATTGTTTTTGTTACTTGGGTCCCCTTGATATTCCATATACATTTTATGATGGTTTGTATTATTTCTGCAAGAAAGCATTCTTGGGACTTTGATAGGAATTACATTGAATCTGTAGATTGCTTTCAGTTGTACTGATGTGTAAACAATAGTAATTCTTCCAATTCATGAACATGAAAGATGTCTTTCCATTTATTCATGTCTTAATTTCTTTCAGCAACAATTTCTAATTTTCCATAAATATGTCTTCGTCTCCTTGGTTATGTTTATTACTAAGTATTTTATTCTGTTAGATGCTATTGCAAATAGAACTGTTTTTCTTAATTTCCTTTTCAGATTGTTCATTGTTAGTGTATAGAAATGCAAATAATTTTTATGTGTTGATTATATATCCTGCAACTTTGCTGAATTTGCTTATTTATTCTAATGGAGGTTTTTTGGTAGAATTTTTAAGGTTTTCTATGTTTAAGGATCACATTTTCAATGAACAGAGATATTTTTACTTGTTCATTTCCAATTTGAATGCCTTTTATTACTTTGTCTCACCTAATTACTCTGGCTGGGACTTCCAATACCGTGTTGATAGAAGTAGTGAAAGAGGACACCCTTGTCTTGTTCCTGATTTTAGAGGAAAAGCTTTCAGTCTTTCACCACTAAGAAGTTAGCTGTGGGTCTTTCAGACATAGCCTTTACTGTGTTGAAGTAGTTCCCTCTATTCCTACTTTATTAAGTGTTTTTCTATTTAAGGAAAACGATGAATTGCATAGTCACAAAAATTTACATATAATTCATTTTACTATTTAGAAAACTATTTCCTTCATGTAGATAACACAGAAAAACATTTTCACAAAGAATTA